ACCCTGGTCTACACATTATTGATCAGAGTGATCTACACAGTATTGATCAGAGTGATCTACACAGTATTGATCAGAGTGATCTACACAGCACTGATTAGAGTGATCTACACAATATTGATCAGAGTGATCTACACAGTATTGATCAGAGTGATCTACACAGTATTGACCAGAGTGATCTACACAATATTGATCAGAGTGATCTACACAGCACTGATCATAGTGATCTACACAGTATTGATCAGAGTGATCTCCACAGTATTGATCAGAGTGATCTACACAGAATTGATCACAGTAATCTACACATTATTGATCAGGGTGATCTACACAGTATTGATCAGAGTGATCTACACAGTATTGATCAGCTTGATCTACACAGCACTGTAGTGTGTCGAGGCGACTGGGGTTTGCACAGGACTGGGTAACCCGCAGTGCTCTGCGTTCCTTCAACGGAGGAGTGTGATTCGTGTTTTAGGGCCAGATCACGAAAATTAAAATGCGTGTCGTAAAGCCTCCTCCACCCGACACAGCCAATTAACAAAGTTGTCGCGTGTTGAACAAACGTCCCAATCTATGACTGTTCAGCACCACCGGGGTTATGGAGAGCAATCTCACAGCATTTACACGGGGGGCGACTCTTCGCTGATTGTTGCAACCAGCATCATCAGGCAGGCAGGCAGCATTGTGTATGCGTCCTACACGCTGTGTGTGTACGTGCTGTGTGTGTACGTGTGTGTGTGTACGTGCTGTGTGAGTGTGTGTGCTGTACACACGGTGTGTATGTGTGTGTGTACGTGTTGTGTGTGCGTGGGTTCTGTACACACGGTGTGTGTGTGTGTACGTGCTGTGTGAGTGTGCTGTGCACAGGGTGTGTGTGTGTGTGTACGTGCTGTGTGAGTGTGTGTGTGCGTGCTGTGTGAGTGTGTGTGCTGTGCACACGGTGTGTGTGTGTGTACATGCTGTGTGAGTGTGTGCTGTGCACACGGTGTGTGTGTGTACGTGCTGTGTGAGTGTGTGCTGTAAACACGGTGTGCATGTGTGCGTACGTGCTGTGTGTGTGTGTGCTGTGCACACGGTGTGTATGTGTGTGTGTACGTGCTGTGTGAGTGTGTGCTGTGCACACGGTGTGTGTGTACGTGCTGTGTGAATGTGTGATGTAAACACGGTGTGTATGTGTGTACGTGCTGTGTGTGTGTGTGCTGTGCACACTGTGTGTGTGTAGTGCTGTGTGTGTGTGCTGTGCACACTGTGTGTGTACGTGCTGTGTGTGTGTACGTGCTGCGTGAGTATGTGATGTAAACACGGTGTGTATGTGTGTACGTGCCGTGTGTGTGTGTGCTGTGCACACTGTGTGTGTACGTGTTTTGTGTGTGTGTGTGCTGTACACACGGTGTGTGTGTGTAGTGCTGTGTGTGTGTGCTGTGTACACTGTGTGTGTGTACGTGCTGTGTGTGTGTGTGCTGTGCACACTGTGTGTATGTGTGTGTACGTGCTGTGTGAGTGTGCTGTACACACTGTGTGTATGCGTGTACGTGCTGTGAGTGTGTGTTGTTCACATGGTGTGTGTGTACGTGCTGTGTGTGTGTGCTGTGCACACTGTTTATGTGTGTGTACGTGCTGTGAGTGTGTGTTGTTCACATGGTGTGTGTGTGTAGTGCTGTGTGAGTGTGTGCTGTACACATGGTGTGTATGTGTGTGTACGTGCTGTGAGTGTGTGTTGTTCACAGGGTGTGTGTGTGTACGTGCTGTGTGTGTGTGCTGTGCACACTGTGTATGTGTGTGTACGTGCTGTGAGCGTGTGTTGTTCACATGGTGTGTGTGTACGTGCTGTGTGTGTGTGTGCTGTACACATGGTGTGTATGTGTGTGTACGTGCTGTGTGTGTGTGCTGTGCACACTCTTGGGGAGTCGTCGTGTAGAGGTTAGCGCGCTACGCTACGAATCCGGAGACCCGGGTTCGATTCCCGCTCACGGCCAACACCAGTGACAATTATCTGAACCGGTCCTGGGCCTCCTCTAGGTCAACTCAGCCTCAACTGAGTACCTGGTGCGGTGTGTAAACATCGCCACTGGGGAGACAAGGGCGGTCGAGCGTGGTGTTGGCCACCCACCCCCTCGTGTACCGTGTCGGCCTTCATAGGTGCTCGCTAACAGCACTTGCCCCTACAGTCTGTTGTGCACGCTATGTGTGTATGTATGTGTGTGTATGCACTGTGTCTTTGTTTGTACACACACTGTGTGTATGTGTGTTGTGCACAGACTGTGTGTATGTGTGTTGTGCACAGACTGTGTATGTATGTGTATGTATGCACTGTCTTTGTTTGTACACACACTGTGTGTGTGTGTGTTGCGCACAGACTGTGTGTGCAAGGAGATGTATCTGCACGCGTTGTGTCCGCTCAAATAAAAAATTGATGCGGACGATTTATGTACGAGCACAATGCTTGTGTTTATTATATTCATGTCCACTCCGTACCCGTGTGCGCGCGCGTTCTCTGTATGTCGATGTGTGTCTATGCGCGTCTTCGTCTTCGTTCTATGTAATGTGCGTGGAGCGGTGGCGGAGCGGTTAGCGCACTGCGCTATGAAACCCGGCGACCCGAGTTCGATTCCCGCTCACGACCAATAACGGTGGCGAATATTTGAACGGTTCCTGGCACCCTCCCCGTAGGTCGACTCAGCCTTAAACGAATACTCTGGTGCGATTGTGTAAAAAGGTCGTCGCGGGAGACAAAGGCGGCCGGGCGTGACAGCCACACCGACACCCCTCGTGTGCCGCCCCGGACTTCATAGGCGCTCGCTCAGAGCACTTGCCCTTAAAGCCTATGCAGGTGACCTTTATCTTCGTTATGAGAATAAATGTGTGTAGCCTACATGGGTGTGACTGTGCACTGTGTTTACGTGCGTGTGGTTGGTTATGTTCGTACGTGTGTTTATTGTACGTGTCAAGGTGGTGGGTGTGTGTTCATAGATGTTTATAGATGTGTATGTGTTTATAGATGTGTATATGTTGATATATGTGTTTAGGGGATGTGTATGCGCGCTGCGCTACGAACCCGGCGACCCGAGTTCGATTCCAACACTGATGACGATTGTCTGAACCGGGCCTCCCTTAGGTGGACTCAGCCCAAATGAGTACCTGGTACGGTGTGTAAACATCGCCACTGGGGAGACAAAGGCGGTCGGGCTGGCCACCCACTCCTTCGTGTGCCCGGCTTCATAGGTGCTGCTCGCTAACGGCACTTGCAGTCTGTTAAGGCTACACGGGGGATTTTGTGTCTTTTTTTTGTGTTAATATGTGTGTGTGTAAGTTATGTACACCGAACAGTACACGTGTGTTGACGCCCGTTATATGAATTATCAACTGAACATTTATGAGAAGGGCAATGATCTGATAGAGGATACCCGACCTGGCAGAGTGACAGATAGAAACCACGGCATTGTTCTACGCGATGAACATCCTCGTGATGTTTACGACTAATAATTAATAATTAGATAATCCATCCCCTTTGTGAATCCTTGAATCCACTCCAACACGGTATGTGTGTGTGGGGGGGGGGGGGTGACCATACTTCACCACGCTGGTTAGAGAACCAGGACCGGTTCAGATGATCACTCCCCCCCTCCCCCCCCCCGATGTTACCCTTGGAACGAAACTCGAACTCAACGTTGCCGGATTTGTAGTGCAGTGCGCTAACAGCTGCACCACCGCTCCCAATAAATTAATACATATTCAGTATCTACACACAGAGTACAAGCACACACACCCGCGTGTACACGGACCTAACGTCACACGCACGTTCGATCTACAAAGACAACGATCCACCGTTCGGCATTCACGGACTGTTGGGGCAAGTGCTGTGAGCGAGCAGCACACGAGGGGCTGGCTGGCGAGGACCACGCCCGGCCGCCTTTGTCTCCCCAAGTGATGACGATTTCACACGGCGCCAGGGTACTCATTTAAGGCTGAGCCGACATAGGGCGAGGCCCAGGACCGGTTCATATATTTCATTATCTTCGTTGGGCCGTGAGCGGGAATCGAACTCAGGGTCGCCGGGTTCGTAAGCGCAGCGCACGACCCGCCACGCGACCGCTCCCCACACGCGCGCGCGTCCACGTGTGCGCCAGGTGTCGCGCGCGTGAATGCGCGTGCACGCGGATAGTGGGGGGAGGGGGCGGAGCGGGGGGGGCTGTCACCGCTTCCCGCGCCTTTAAGATGATTAATCCGCATAATATCCACATTATAGCGGCGATCCATCACGTGCCGCTTTAATAAATAGACGCGGGGGGCGGGGGAAGGGACGAGCAGAGAGAGAGAGGGGGGGGGGGGCACGGGACCCGGGGAGGTGAAAGCGCGTGGGGGGGGGGCGCTGGGGGTTTGGTGAGGGGTGGAGGGGGGGTCCCCTGGAGGGAGTGGGGGGCGGCGGGGTGCTAATTGAGTGTGTGGGGTTCGCGGGGGGGGGGGGCACTCCAGACCTCGCTTCTCCGTGCGCGCGTCTCACCTGGGACCCGCGCAGGTGGATGTGGGGGTGAGGGGAGGGGCTGCGGGCTCGTTAGCGGGGGAGGGGAGGGGCAACGCGCGTGCGCCGCTCCTAATGAACGAGGAGTCGCGTCGCCGTTGATGATGAAAATGAAAACTCCCGAGCACGAGGAGGGGCGGGGGGGGGGTCAGTAACGGGGGGGGTGCGCGTGCACGAGGAGCCAATGGGGGCCTCTTAACCCGAGGAGCGGGGGGAGAATGGGGGCGGGAGACGGGGGGGGAGGGGCCTGTCCCCCCGCCTCCCCCCTCGACTACCCCCTCCCCCCACACTCGTGCACGCGCAAGGGGGACGCGCGCGCATCACTTTTTCCCGGGGACTCGGAGCGCGCGGAGCAGCGAGACCCTGAGACCGGGACAGGGCGAGGGAGGCCCCGGCGGACGGGGACCCGGACCCCGAGCCCCTGAGTCCTCCGGACCCCCCCCCCCCGAAACAACTCCCCCCCCCGAAACAACCCCCCTGGACCCCCGAAGCCCCTCTCCGTTGCCGTGCCGCAGATTCCGCACATCCTCTGATCCCGAGTCCCCGCACGCTCGAGGTGCCGGACCTCGATCCTCGGATTCTGTCTTTGCAGCCGTCCCGGACCCTTTCACCCTTGAGGCACGGACCCCGGCACCGGGGACCCCCCTGAACCCCCGAGTCCCCGGGCTCCCCCGGACTTCTCGTATCCCCGAGCCGGGCGCGTCCCCTCTCCCCTGGGGGGCCATGGAGTCGGAATCCCTGAGCCACCCGAGCCCCGCGTCCCCGCAGCCAGAACCCATCAGCTTCGGCATCGACCAGATCCTGGGAGGGGGAACCCCGACGGGAGGGGACCCGACCCCTACGGCGCGGGGCCCTTGCGACCACGCCGAGCTGCTGCTGAGCCCGATGGTCCACGGGGCGGCGGGGGGATACGGGGCCCTCTCGCCCCCCGCGTTCGGCCCCTACAGCCCCGCGCAGCACCACGCGTTCCCGCACCACCCCTCCCAGCAGCAGCACCACCACCACCACCAGCACCCCGGAATACCGCCTGGGTGCCACTTCGGGGTCCAGGGCGCGGGGGCCGGGCTCATCCGGGTGCCCGCGCACCGCCCCCTCGCCGCGGGGATCCCCGGCGGCGGCGGTCCCCTGGGGCACGGCATCGCCCTGCCCTTCCCGTGGATGGAGTCGAACCGGAGATTCGTGAAGGAGCGGCTGAGCGGTGAGACACGAGATCACACGAGCCCTTGTCGTCATCGGCAGCAGTAGCAGCAGCAACAACCATGGCCGATCCGCTGCTGGATGAAGGCCCGAACAAAGCCGCCGCCACCACCGCTGTCACCTCTCACGATCACGCGATGTTTCATAATAATAATGATGATGATTCACCCAGTACCTGCGCCACAGATCATTTCACCGCTCCATCTCCCGTGGCGGTCCCGCTTTCGGAACGCGTTCCATTCCTCGCCTGCCACCCCGCCACTCTCCTCCACCGTCACCCAGCGCCGTCCCGTGGGGGGCCACTGAACTCGTCACCTGCCCTCTGATCTCCGCGTCCCGCCTCTACCCCCCGCCGCCCTCTCCCTGGCTGATTGTTTGCACGCTCCCGTCTCTCCCGTCTCTCCCGACTGCTGCTTCTTCTCTGCGCACTATTTATTATTCTCTTGCTCGAGGTCGCTCTTCCGCCCGTGTCCGTTCGCGACCGCCTGCGTCGCTCGTCCACAACGCGCGCGCCACCGGGGGATGTCTCCGCAGCCGGCACACCACATCCTGTGTACATCTGCGGCTCTCTGTGGCCAAGTGCTGCCCTGTACCTAACGCTGTGCCCCCTTACTCCAGTCGGTGTACCAGAGGCACGGACGGTATTCGGCGGTACATTAACCTCCCCCCCCCGTGTGTGTGACGCGCGTTACAAACACGGATTACCTACACTCGTTACACACACGAGTCACACACACACACGTTACACACACACACACTCGTTACACACACGAGTTACACACACACACACGTTACACACACGCGTAACACACACACACACGTTACACACACACACACACGTTACACACACGCGTAACACACACACACACGTTACACACACACACACTCGTTACACACACGCGTTACACACACACACACGTTACACACACACACACTCGTTACACACACGAGTTACACACACACACACGTTACACACACGCGTAACACACACACGTTACACACACACACACACGTTACACACACGCGTAACACACACACACGTTACACACCACACACACTCGTTACACACACGCGTAACACACACACACGTTACACACACACACACTCGTTACACACACGAGTCACACACACACACGTTACACACACGAGTTACACACACACACGTTACACACACACACACTCGTTACACACACGCGTTACACACACACACACGTTTACACACACGCGTAACACACACACACACGTTACACACACACACACACGTTACACACGCGCGTAACACACACACCACACCTTACACACACACACACTCGTTACACACACGCGTAACACACACACACACGTTACACACACACCACACACGTTACACACACGCGTAACACACACACGTTACACACACACGCGTTACACACACACACACATTACACACACGCGTAACACACACACGCGTAACACACACACGTTACACACACACACACGTTACACACACGCGTAACACACACACACGTTACACACACACACGTTACGCACACACGCGCGTTACACACACGCGTAACACACACACACGTTACACACACACACACGTTACACACACGCGCGTTACACACACGTTACACACACGCGCGTTACACACACGCGCGTCTTCTCTCAACTCTACTCGCCACGTGTCACCAACCCCACAAGCGACCCGCGTGGTAAGGTCAAATAAGCTCCCCCCCCCACCCGACCGACAGCTTTGAGAGCACTTTCATCCAGCAGTGGATTGATGAAGGCCTTTGCATTACTAATACAATATATCACACACCGTGTCGGACACAAGACAAAGGTCCCCCGTATAGCCTTCCACAGACTGTTGGGGCAAGTGCTGCTCGCGAGCAAATCGTCCGCGCCAATGTAGCGGACACCATTGTGGGTTGCGATGATGATCGTGAACGTGTCCGATGCTTACGCATTATGCTGCCGTTGTATATGCCGAAGACACACACTGGGTATACTTAGCATATACTGTGTATATATACTGTGTGTATACTGTGTGTATATATAAACTGTGTGTGTATACTGTGTGTATATATAAACTGTATATATATATATACCACCACACGTGTAGTGCATTGCAAAGAGACAAATGTCGCCACGTGCAGCCTTGCACAGACTGTTGGGTCAAGTGCTGAGTGCTGTTCGCGAGCTGCACTGTGCCACGTGAGAGGCTGGGTGAGCAGCACCACGCCCGGCCGCCTTTGTCTCCCCACGTAGCTGATGCTTTATACACTGCACCAGATACTCATTTAAAGGCAGATCGACCTAGAGGAGGCCCCAGGGCCGCTGTTGTTTATTGGTCGTGAGCAGGAATCGAAATCGGATCGCCGTATTGGTAGCGCGATGCGCTAACCACTACGCCACCGCTCCTCGCACGTGTATACACGTATATATGTAAACGCACACAAGCGCGTAATGTGGCTGTGTATGGATGATGTGTTTTGTATATTTGTGCGTGCGCATGTTTTGTATATGAGTATTTGTATGTGTATATGTGTGTATATGTGTGTGTGTATATGTGTGTGTGTGTGGGGGGAGCGGTAGTGTAGCGGGTAACGTGCTGCGCTATGAACTCGGCGACCCGCGTTCGATTCCCGCTCACAGCCGTCGTGTGCCGTGCCGGCCTTCATAGGTGCTCGCTAACAGCACTTGCCCCAACAGTCTGTGAAAGGCTATACGGGGGATCTTTGTGTGTGCAATGTGTAGAGGCGCGGTAGTGTATGAGTTAGCGCGCTGCGCTACGAACTCATCGACCCAAGTTCGATTCCTTCTCCCGGCCAACACCAACACCAGTGACGATTATCTGAACCGGTTCCGGGCCTCCCCTAGGTCGACCCGGCCTCAAATGAGCACTTGGTACAGCGTACTAACCTCGCTACTGGGGATACAAAGGCGGTCGGTGTCTGGCCACCCACCACCTCGTGTGCCGTGCCGGCCTTTATAGGCGGCCGCTAACAGCACTTGCCCCAAACGGATCTTTATATTTGTAATGTGGGCATGTGTGTGTATATAATTAAATGTGTACATGCAGTTTCGTGTGTACCGTAATGTCGATGGAAAGGCAACGGAATTACATAATTAATAAAATGCAGCAATTATCGATTTCGTAATTAGGGCTTTTACAGTTTACCATTGTTCTTTCAGAACACTCACACGCACGCGTACACACACACGCATAATGAATGCAACATAACTCGATACATTCATTACGAAACGGAGTCAAATCTATCGGCAGCGTTCATCGCCTCTGCTGCATTGCTCTCGTGTATTTCCGTTGTAGTATATACACATGTGTGTATATGCAGTGTATATGCAATATATATACTGTTTGTGTATATGTGTGTATACAGTATATATACTGTGTAAATATGTGTGTATACAATATATACTATGTGTGGTTATATGGAAGTGTGAGCGCGTGTGTAAATGTTGTCATGTTAGTGGTGTTGTGGAGAGGCCTGGTGGCTCCGAACCCGGCGGCCCCGAGTTCGAAACCCGCTCAAGGCCAGAGAATATTTCAACGGCTCCGTGGTCCTTGTGCTGTGTGGGGGTTGTGTTAACACGAAGGGCTGGGGAGACAAAGGCGGGTGGGGCGTGGTTGCTGCTCACGCTGTGCCCACATCGGTGCCCCTCGGTCAGGGCACTTGCCGCAGCAGTCTGGTATGAAGGAGGATGTTGTCACGGGGGGAGATCTTCATCTTTGTAATTCTCTAATTCAAGGTTATTACGATTTATCCGCCACTCTTTATTGTTGTTGTCATTATCGGCGACAGCTGCAGGGGCGCCGCGAAATTTCCCATTCACCCGCGACGTCTTTCTGACGACAATCCGCGATGTCTCTCCGCGACTTGACCCACAACACGCGGAGCGGCAGCGGATTCCGAAAATCCTTCACGATTCTGAATCGCGGACAAGAGGAGTCGCCGCCTGGCACATTCATCCAATAATCCGCGAGGGGGTTATCCGCGATTTTATTTCGTTTGTTCCCCCTCCTCCCCGCGGATAAGAGGAGTAAAATCGCAGATAACGCGGATTATAGGATGATCTGCAGCGATATGTGTTACCCCCCCCCCCATCCTATATCACCGCAGAACACATGTTTGTTCTAACTGCGCCCTTTATCCCGCCATGTCACCGCAGAACCGAGGCAGGCAGGCAGACGTGGTGGAGACACTCATCTTCTTGGTTCTTTCGGTAAAGTCGCGTCGAAGGGAAATTATAAAATAATAAAAAATAAATTGATGAATCCCTGCAGTCACGAAAGGTTGAAATCGTAGTTTTTATTTTATTTACCGAAAGCACCAAATAATATGAATTCCTGCAGTCACGAAAGCTTTTAATCAAAAGTATTATTATCCTTTCGATTTAAAGCTTTCGTGACTACAGGGATTAATCTTCTTGGTTCTTTCGGTAAAGTCACGTAGAAGGGAATTAATATAATAAAACGTCGGCCACAACACAAGCAGCCGTCCTCAGGTGAAGAACAGAGCTGTCGGAAAGATAGCGTCTGTCTTTTTTATATGTTTTATTTTTATTATTTTATTACTTCCCTTCTACGTGACTTTACCGAAAGAACCAAGAATATGAATCCCTGCAGTCACGAAAGCTTTAAATCGAAAGGAGACATTTATGTCACGGGATCCGTTGTCGTGGGCTCCAGTGGGAATGAATGAACGAACGCCGCAGGGAATGATTGAAACGCCTAAAAAGACAAGGGGCGCTCACCGGGGCTCGAGATAAACCGCGGCCCGGCCCAAGAGGGTTCACGGTTCGACCTTCAGCGGCCGCCCTAGTCATTGCCGCGGGCTGCGTGGATGAAACAGTGCTTTACTCACAGAGGACGTTAAAGAGTCCGTGAGGTCATTCTGCAAGAGTTGGGCAAGTGTGCACCGGTGTCAAGATCCACATTTGCCACCGTTTTTTTCTTCATATATTTAAATTTACACCACAAATTAATCGTTTGGA